CCACACACCCACACCCACACACCCACACCCACACCCACACCCACACCCACACCCACACCCTACTGCTCACTCTCCTAAGTTTAAATTGACCTTCGTTATTCAAGCAATCACGAAAACGTTGAACAACCGAATGACATACTTTACGACACATTTCTTTCGGTATTTCCCATGTAAAAAAAATGATGATAATGAACGTGTAGAAACGCGTTTTTGAGAAATTATGACGCGTTTTCGACACTAAGAATGCGTTTGAAAAAGAAAAAAACGCGTTCGAACGGGTTTCTCAAATATCAGAACGCGTTCAAACGCGTTTCTGTTGATAAACAACGCGTTTTGTACCGTGATAAACACGCCTATAATGAACACGTTTCGAGTCGATAGTAACGCGTTCTGATGATACGCGTTAGTGTTCAGTCAGGAAAAACTCGTTGTCATAGTAAACAAATGAATTTTTTAAGAAAGCATAAAAATGTTTAAACAAAGAACGCGTTCATTAATTGGCAAAACGTCTTCTTTGGTGTAATACGAATGAGCTTAAGATAAAGTAAGATTCATATCTTGTAATACGTTGAAATGAGTACGACGAAAATTTGATGCGCTTTGAGAAATATACATATCTTAGTAAGAAAGATGTTTTTTTAACTCTTACTGACAAAACGACTGAGTTCGACAGGTTGAGATGATGATCTCTACGAAGTATCGTATTTTTTCTGCTTTTTATTAGAAACTGTTTTTAATCATGTATATCTGCAGATGCCTAAGTCGAGTTTTAATTTATAAAAAACGCTGTATAACTTGAGATCATTTTTGCAATCGATATTAAGTTATTTATTAACAAGAATCTAAAAGCCGATAGGACAAAAAAAAACAATTATATCATCTACTTTTAGTTAGCCTTGGTAATTGAATCAAATTAACTTCATTAGGATTGCTACATGGAAAACTCTTCTAATATATTTGGAGGACTAATTCATTTGGAATAATTATTAGATTCACGGATTAAAATATTTTCATTTTCAACTTCATATGATATGTATTACAAATCTGTCATCGATAACCCATTTTGTTCATAATTCACGTTTAAATTTCAATGAAGACTCTATGATCTAACACCAAGTCAAAAGTAAACTTTAAAACTGAAAGACGCTAACTGCGAGACTTATTTAGTTGTTTCCTATTATTACAGTTATCATAATTTAAATTAGTAGTTTGTTAAAAAAACATTAGCTTCACAACTGCAAATTAATTCAACTGATACACAAAAACTTTGAGTTATACCTCGTGTGTCTATCTAGATATTTGCTTGAAAAATATAGTTATTCATAAGTTCCATTTGAGCAAATAAGTAATTTTGTAAAACAATCGTTGAAATTTTAAAAGAAAATCTAAATTCGGATTATATAATTTTTTTTACAAGCTGTATTTAATAATTTTAACTTCACAATTTTATTTTTCAATTTGAAATTAGAAAGATTCAATATATAATATATATATCACAATTTTTGTTTTAAGATTTTAATTAACAAAATTTTTAAAAGTTAACAAAAAGAAATAGCTCTTTCGATTTTATTATGACCCAGCTTTATCTGAAATTGAATTATGCATTCACGTCAATTAACAGAAGCTGTAGTAAATTTCAAACATACGCATTAATTTTTTCATGATAAGTAGAAAATTTAACAGTTAGGATATACGTAAGTTTAGTCAAGAGGTACGTTGACTGATTCGTAATTCCAGGAGTGCGTGATCGAATCTACCTTAAAGCAATCAACAAAATTTCAGAAAACGTTTCCAATAATTTAATCTGCGATTGTCGATACAAAAGAGTGCGGAATCAGAAACGAAACGCCATTTAGAAGGGAAGAAAATACTTCAGAACAGTGTGGCTGAAGAAAAAAAACACTCCTACAGTAAATGGAATAGAAAATTAGTTTTTTTAAAGTAAAATTCGTACTTGGAAAAACGCGTTATTGAACTACTTTTAACATTTTTTGAAACAGCATTTTCAACTCACCAGAACGCGTTTTGTTTACATAAGAAAACGCGTTTTTGATAATCAAAACTCGTTCTAAAATAATGACAAAAGCGTCTTAACAACGCATTTTTTTATTTCAACAACGCGTTCCTATTCGTTCTTGTTTTAATCCTCTTTTACATGGGTTGTTTACACGCTTCTTCAATCCTTTGTTTAAGTTCAATAATTGTAGCAGGCGGGTTTTGAAATACAATGTCTTTTAAATATCCCCAAAGGAAGAAATCACATGGTGTTAAGTCCGGTGAGCGCGCTGGCCAGTCAAATGGACCACGTCTACCAATGAAAGTAAAGTCCCTTGCGTTGTAGTTGCGGCCATGCATACTTAACCAGCATTTCTTTGTATAGTGGACCAGTAACAGTATCGTTAAAAAAATAGGGTTCGACAAGTCCATTGGAAGTCATTCCACACCATACCATAACCCCTTCTTTCATATTTGGTACCTCAAACCTTAAATGTGGATTTTCCCTAGCCCAGTAAGTACAATTATGTCGATTAACAGTTGTATTCATACGGAATGCGGCTTCATCGCTCCCGAATATAAGGTCGACTAAATCGTGATTATTTTCGAATTTTTCGAGCCATATCTCACAGAATTCACTGCGACGATCAAAATCGTCTTCATTAAGGCCTACTACTAAAGTTGGATGATATGGTTTAAAACCAAGTTGCTTCATAGCTATTTGATAACTGCTTTTGCTTATACCAGCTTCAAAAACATCTTGACGAATAGTTAGTCGTGGACTCCTAATGACCATTTATTCAATCTCTTCCAGTTTTTCTTCAGTCAGTACAGTTGATGGCCAACCTTCGCGGGGTAAATCTTCCACTGATCCAGTTTCATCAAATTTTCGGTTTACCAACAAAACTGTGGTTTTATGCGGCGGAGTCGTATCAAAATGATGGTTCCATTGTCGATGAACTTCGTGCGCATTTTCAAACTTTGAAAAAAGTCGCACCATTGCGATTCTTTCTTCAGTAGTACGAGCTAGAGGCATGTTTAAGAATGATAAAAGAAACACGCAATGTTATGCACTGTATTATTACGTAGATCAACTTTTGCATCTCTTGTACTTTTTTCTTTTCTTTTTTCGTTCGCCTCTAAGTACATGTTGTGGTCAAAATTCAAATCCAGTCAAATTTTAAATTTGCCCGGGCAAAATTCAAATTAGAATTTTGCCCAATATAATGTCAGTCAAAATTCTAATTTCGCTTTTCACTAAAAAAATTGTAATTTCGATTTTGACTAGACGAAATCGGAAATTCCTTTTGATGAACAAAGTAAACTAAAGAAAAAATCACAAAGAAGTAACAACTTTTTTTATTTCACAAAACTCATTAAACAAAGCAACAATAATCCTAAACTAATCTATTCCATATTTAAACATCCACCTCTTTTTGAGTGACACTTTGTTGAGCAGAATACATTTTCTTTTTTACATGGACATGTTTTGGCTGCACAATTGGTTCGACAGTTACAAGTACGTCCGGTAGTGGAACCACGAGAATAATGCTTTGATGCTTCAATAATGGTTGTTGGTTTTAAATTATCAACTTCTACGTCTTTCAATTCATGAGGACAAGCATCTTTTAAATCATGGAATTGTCCAATTTCAAATGTATTTTCTAAAGCACCATATTGACAAATTAATTTATATAAAAAAGTGTCATTTTTTGTCATTTTTTCTATAATAAGACATGGTAAATATTTTGGGTCAGTATTAGTTCTATCAACTGCATTTATTGGGATCCCAACACAATCATTTACATTATAATCATTTGCGATTATATCTCAACCATTTTGATACAATTTCATCTTTTTATTAGCAGTTGCCAGATAATGATCTGTAGCAGTTTTTCGAATGATATCGTGTTTTTGTGATGTAACTGATGATGATATTGATGGTTCAGCATTTAATGAAGAAACAATATCATCAGATAGTTTTTTGACGAGTTCAATTACTTCTAGATCAAGATCTTCATCAACATTAATTAACGTATCACTTTTACCATCATTTAAATAATCTGTTGATACAGCAACAGGAGTTGGTAAATCATTTTCATCATCAATTCCATTTTTACTAACCAACTTCCAATAATCGGAATCAGAACGAGGTGTTTGTCCAAACATCACTTCATACGGGGTTGTTTTGGTAACAGTAGACATTCTGGTATTAATCCCGTAAACTACAGGCAATAAACCATTAGACCAACTAGAAGAATTATTAGTGGACATCCATTTATCGAGAGCATCACACAAAACCCCGTTTGCTCTTTCGATACATCCTTGGCTTTGTGGATGTCTCGGTCTTCCTCGAATAAAGTGCAAATCTGGAAAAAGATTTTTTAATTCCATAATAACCGTTGATACAAATTCACGACCATTATCACTATGAAGCAATCGAGGTGGTCCGAAAACAAAGAACAGTTCACGCAACTTAATAGCAACTTCAGTAGCTGATTTGTTTTTCAATGGAAATGACCATGAGAATTTACTGAAATGGTCTATACAGTTTAAAATCCAACAATAAATAAGATCTGGTGATATTTTATCGGGTCTTGTTCTCATGTCAATCAAGTCTATTTGAAGACGTGTCATCACACCTAAAGAAATAATTGGTTTTGATGGAACTTGTTGTTTTATTAGCTTTCGTGTTTGACACACAATACATTGTTTCAAAAATAAATCAATACAAAATCGAGGAATCCATGAATGTTGAGAGTTTAATTCAAAAGTGGTCTTTTCACGACCACCATGTGAAATCGTATTGTGTGCTTCAGTTAGAGTATCGTAAAAAGCTTCATAAACACAAATTGGCTTTTTTGATTTTACACAAGCAACAATATCGATACTAGTAATTTTGACTAAGGCAAATTTTTGTCTTGCCCAATAAGCAAAGGAAGACGAATATGAAACATCTGACGTACCTTTTGGTGATAGTAAACATTTCAAAATGTCGTTGTACACTTGTTGCTTGATAACGCATTTTTTACGAAAATTTTTACTTAACGATAAAATATGTTCATTCACTTTTTCATAAAAAATCTTCTTATTATCATTATCTTCGATTATTCTTGAATTCGACTCCATTATTTTATTGAAATATTACGTTTGACAATTTATATATCTCGTTTATTCTCGTGTCTCTCTATAACAAATATCTTTCTTCTCCCGTTACATTAAACTACACGCATTGTTTATCGCATCGAACAATTCTCTTTCTTTATTTGGCCTACTTATCTTGTATGAATAACCATAACCAACAGCAGAAAGAAAGTAGAATCAAATAAGAAAGAATATTGGTGTAACACAAGCAGTTACGACAACTTAAAATTGTTACTTTTTTATGATTTTTTCTTTAGTTTATTTTGTCCATCAAAAGGAATTTCCGATTTCGTCTAGTCAAAATCGAAATTACAATTTTTTTAGTGAAAAGAGAAATTAGAATTTTTTTACTGAAAATCGAAATTACAATTTTGACTGAAATTTTGTCGGACAAAATTCAAATTAGAATTTTGACTGACATTATATTGGGCAAAATTCTAATTTGAATTCTGTCTGGGCAAAATTCTAATTTGAATTATGTTTGGGCAAAATTCTAATTTGAATTTTGCCCGGGCAAATTTAAAATTTGACTGGATTTGAATTTTGACCACAACATATACATATCTTTATGCTTATAATATATGTGTGTATCCCATGCAAACAAGTAAACGCTTAAAATGGTGTATCAACGCGTTCATACAGAAAAAAATGCTGTATAACTGGTTTACATCATGTATCAGAAAGCACAACTCGTTAAAACTGGTTCCTTCGTATATAGACAGGTTTTAATGCATTTGTTGTGGAAAAGGTTATGATTTGATGCGTTTTAACGTGTTTATATATAGGAATCAGAATCAAAGGGTAGAAACTCGTTAAAATCTTGTTTTTTTTCGTTAACAACACGTTTTGATGATTGAATGTGGTCTCCCATCACCTACTAACGTAAATGTTACAAATCTTTTTAAAAGAAAATGAGCCAGTATTTTTATGTACTAGAACGTAAATTAGGGAGCTGAAAGAAAAACATTGATTTACCAAAAGAAGAAAAATCAAACTTCGCCCCATAGCTAAATACACGTTTTGAGAAAAAAAATTTTTAATGAGTAAGCTTAATTGGTGAGCAATGTGATGCCACAGAGTGCATCGGTAAACATGATTATTTATCAAGAAACTATCTGTTGTGGGTGTTGGTCTAGTTGTAGAGCTTGTATTATGTGACATTCATCTATACGACCCTATACATCTGTTTGAATTGGACTTTGAATTATTGTAATTTTAGAAGTTTTATAAAATTTCTATAATTACAATAATTGGTATTTAATATAAATATTTTATGTTGCATTGAAAGGAGATTACCATTATTATTTCAATTTGAGTTACCCTTCCACAATAATTTATATCTTTTTTTAAAATGATTATTTAAAAACAATTAGTTTAGAAACGTTTTGGAAGCATCTGCTCTCCTTTTTAGTACATATTTGCAATAAATTATATACAAGAACAAAAGGAGAATCGTATTTTTCTTTTTCTTCTTTTATCATTCTTTATTACTGATACGGAAGAAGACAAACTTTAAATCATCTCGTCCAGTATTATTGTCTTGTTTTTTCTTCCGTATCAATAATAAAGAGTGATAAGGAAGAAAAAGAAAAATTCAATTGTCGTTGTTCTTTTATATAACGTATTGTTAAAATGCTCTGCAGAAGAAAGCAGATGCTTTTCAAACGTTAGTAAATAAGTACTATATAAAAATTTAATAATAAGAAATAAAATGTTTGTAATAAAAAAACAGTATATATTTATATTTAAAAAATGATATAATTATATTTATACATAAAAAAGTTATATATATAAATATATAAAATTTATATACAAATATATTTAAATAATTTATTTTTTTTAATATTTTTGTTTTTGTAAAATTTTTAAAGTGCCTGTTTCAAATTTACAAATCGCATTTTTATTCGAATTTGAGTTCGGCATCGACTATCAGTATAAGCAGCTGTAGAAGTCTGCATACACATGAGTTTCGTTCAATATAAGTAGAAAATTTAATATTTAAGAACTAAGTAAGTTCAGTCTAGAGGTAAGTTGACTGTCTCAGAATTATAAGTTCCTTCGTTCAAATCTACATTAGGGCAAAACAAAACAAACAAAAACGCGTTTCTGGATAATATGTGTCATTGATATAAAAACAGGTTAAACTGAATCAAAACAGAACAATTATAAACGCGGTTCAGTACCTAATACAATGTGTCAATGACATGAAAACGCGTTGTATTCCATTTTTTAAATTATTTTTCTTCCATGGAAATGCATTAAAACACTCTTCATCTAAACGCATTTCACATAGTCACAAATGTCCGAAATTACGCGTTATAATGCGCTTTCCATAAAATGCGTTAAAATATCTTTTAATAAAACCTGTTATAACAAGTTTAATGTAAGAAAAAAGGACTCTGTTAAAACGCCGTTTTTCGGACATTTTTGACGGTGCGAAATGCATCAAATAAAAGAAAAAAAGGAACTGTTTTGATGCGTCAATTTCATATTTTTGACTGCATGGGATGTGTTAGTATGTTTGTTGCGTGTTTTAAGAGAAAAGAAGAAATGAAACAGCGATTTAATGCCACATGTAATTAAGTTCTTAACAAAAAATCACTACAGCAAAACTATTTAGGGATACAAATAAGTCTTTATCAAAGGTGTTTGGTGGTATAGATGTATTAGTTTTATGTGCATGAATATATTATTCTTTTGTGAATACAAACTAGACGGTGTCTTCTACTTTGAGAAAAAAATTCAGCTCATTTCATTGAAGCCTAGTGAAAATATTCAAGTTTTTGGGGTGGGTGTGGGTGTAGTTCTTCTCTTTAATCACACCCACACCCACGCCCACACCCACACCCACACCCACGCCCACACCCACACCCACACCCACACCCACACCCACACCCATAGGCGGCGGAGCCACGAGGCCTGGGTAGGCACGAGCCTACCCTAGATTGGAGGAGAGTAGGCTTGGGTAGGCTCAGGTAAAGGCTTGGGTAGGCTCAGATAAAGGCTTGGGTAGGCTCGAACCAGTACAGATAAAGGCTTGACTAGGCTCGATTTAATGTAAAATTTTTCTAATATTAGATAATTTTCATGTTCTTCTGTCAGATGACACGTTATTACAAGGTCAGTTCACATCTTATTATTACAAACTCGTGCCCAGTGACATACTGATTGGTTTCGTTGACGTCTATATTTACGTCGAATTTTTTATTTTCAATATAAGATAATTTAACTTTTGTTCTAAACTTCTATTCAAAACAACGTTTGAATTGTAAGTAATTAAAGAACAGTACTCTTCCATAGGCGGTGGAGCCATTAGGCCTGGGTAGGCTCAAGTTCGCTCTAGACTGGCTGAGGGTAAGTTCAGTAGGCTCAAACTTGGACAGAGCAAGACTTTTGTAGGATCTATTAAATGTGAAGGTTTTCTATTATTGTCTAGTTTTCCAATTTTTCTGGCAGATGATACGTCGTTACAGAGTCAGTGTCAGTCATAGGCGGCGGAGCCATTAGGCCTGGGTAGACATAGCTCTACCTAGACTGAATATCTAAAAAGACGTTCATACACTCCATTCTACATAAAAATGTTATATTATTGCTAAATTTTCGTTTGCTTATAACGCATGATATATTATTACAAGATCAGTTTATTCTGTATCTGCTACCAACCATAGGCGACGAGGCCACAATGGCTGAGAAGGCGAAAGCTCATCAAGATTCAAGTTTCATAGGCTAAGAGAAACTCAAACATTTGCTTCTCACTCCATCAGATTAAAAAACTTGCGTACTGCTCGAAATTTTTTGCTGTCATCAGCGGTAGCTGCTAACATTTTTAGGGAAAAAACTGAGTTTCGTATGACTAAGTGTTGCAACGTACATCGATAATGAGTTCACGTTATGCTCTTTTGTTACAAATGAAGAATCACCTTACAGGTTACTTACAATCATATCTGCTGGATGATGTCAAAATTCTCTCGCCTTTCTGCAGTTACTCTCAGATGCCAATCAAACATTTTTAACACGCTGAACAAACCCACAATGAGATTCCTTTTCTGTGAGCACTGCTGCGTCGCCATAATTTTAGTTTGCACTAATCCAAATCAAAAACTCTTTCCAATGTGCAGCTCCTGAGATAGGTTCAGAATCTAACCAACTCTAGTTCTGAGCCTGGGTTTGAAATTTCTCTGTTGACTAGAGTCAGATCTGGATCCAGGCACAAATTCTCGAATTCAGACCTGATAGGCTCTAGCAGCACGTAAGAACTAGTTAAAACTTGGTTATTACGAGATTATCGTCAAAATTGTTTGAAAAATGTGTAGGGTGTGCTGGTTGCCCGAAAAATTAATAAAAAGAATGTAGAATCTTTGAAATAATTATCAAATTGAGAGTAAAAACCTTGCATTGAGAGTACGAGCACTACGAATCCGGCTTCGGATCCTAAAATTTTGCGTCCGATGGACTATATTTGAGGGTCACTATTTAATGAAAACAAAAGTTTAAGTAACTCTTTGAATACAAGTTTTTTGCCACAAGTTGCAAACTCATCTCTGATCTGTGCTAATGTTATGCATTAAAAAATTTGAGTTCGAAATAAGTAATATTGGTTGTATTTTATTTGAGTGACATAGCATAAAAAATGACCCTCTCTATCTTTAACTTGTCAGTAAGGCTCGTATAAAAATATTGAGCCTACCCTAGATTCAAAACGCTCCGCCGCCTATGCCCACACCCAAACCCACACCCACACCCACTCCCACACCCATTTCCACACCCATACCCACACTCACACGCACACCCACACCCTAACCAATTTTGATTTTCATCAGTATTAGACTAACGATAATCTTACAGTTGACATTAAAACTAACTATCGACAATGCAGTATGT